TTCTGTGGCAGAACTAACTGCAGTGAAATGTCAGCTGTTTTTTTTTCCCAGAAAGTGTCACTTGATCATATTATTGATACTATGCTAAACTTGTATAAACTATGCTAAACTTGTACACACCAAAAAGTATGTTTGTCTGACAACATATTCTATACTTAAAAGTCAGATGTAAATTTTTTAGCAGTAATTTTTGTTAGTGTAATTTAAACTCAGCATAATTTCTGGGCAACAATATGTAAATATCCACTATTGAAACTGACTGATTTTTATGAAGTGGAAAAATAAAATAAAAAAGAGTGTGTGTTATCATACTAGTTACAAACCACTAAGACTATTAAATCACATAAAATTTATAGTGGGAAAATTTACTGCTGTTGCACTGAATGATTTTGTTGTTCCATTCAACTGTCTTACCAAACTAATGACGTATTACTGCATCCTGACAAAAGTAATAACCCTCACCAATTCTTAGTAAATATTGCCAACCTGACAGTTTTGTACAAATGAATGACAATATTTTGACCAAAGAGAGCAGAGATTGTACAAAAATGATGAGCAAGATAAACACAACAGACAACTGAAACTGAAAATCATGTTTTACCCATCATTAAGGAAACATTTCCACAGCTAATACCCATCTCATGCAAAGCTTTGGCTTTTTGCTTGTTTATGTAAAGTCTGATTTTTAGGTGCTGCTCTATTTCTTCTAAAAACTTGTCCAGGTTCTTTGAAGAACGTATTTTCCAGCAAGATGTCAAGTATCAATTCTTCTTTAAATAATAATACAAGTATCTAAGATATCTTAATATCTGAATTTTAAATAAGGCAACAATACTTTAATAGTTTTTAATTTTTCTTCAATAAATAAGTGACAGTTGTTTGTTACTATTAGAATTTTGTTACCATCCCTGGGACCACAGCTATCTTAGGTAACAAATGTATTGAATTTCCAAAGACTCAGAAAACACACCGTGTATCCCTGTACTTATGCAGTAAGCTGATATCCTCTTTATTCCCTACAGGAGAGATATCAAAGCAGTACTCCCAAACTCTTCACGATGTCCAACCAAGGCAAGCTGAGTTTGTTTCCCCAGTGAACAAATTTCGTCTCTTAAGTACAACTCCAGTCTCTCCTTCTCAAACTATGTGAACAAGGGGCTCCTCAACAACCGTTATGAAACCAGGACCACAAAATGTTTAATTCTTGGCATGCCAAGTATATGACCACATCACTAAATTGAAGAATTTGCCTCTGTCTTTCATCACCTTTTCTGGCACTATTTCAGTTATTGAATGTTTAATGATTAAACAATAACTGATCTGAGAAGACCATCACTGTACAAACCCAGATGAGCCATTTAGGCCAAATATATTAGAGACAGATGAAGTTTACTCTTTTAATCTGCATTTATTTATTTATATAATTTACATTTACTTTTTTATAAAAAGTGGAGTATCTTCAGAGCAGAATTCTCATTATAAATGGAATAGTCACTCATTCCCAGGGGAGAGACTTGAACTTCAGTTTCTCATGCACCAGATAACTGCTTCTGTCAAAAATCAGTGTTTCCCACTAGAGAAACCTTCGGTAGAAAATTTCTATTTTAACAAAATAGCAAATCTATGCACTATTTTTGTACTGTATTTACAGGACATTGCCAGTTTATTTTGTTTTAAATATATTTTCTAGTATTTGTTTTAATTTAGCTTTTGTTAGATTCTTAGTGCCTTACTAGCATATTTTTCTTTTTCATACTTGTTTTTCTAAAATAGGTTTTTGTCCTACCACATTTTAATGTATTTACATGTGTTTTTCACATTGCGTACAATTTTCTCCCTCCTTCTTTTCTGACAATCTGTTCCCTAACTAGTTGCTTATTTGTTCTCCTTATATTCGTTCACATTTCAACATTTCTTTTACACTACCAAGTTTCAATTTTCAAATTAACAAAATAATGTTATCTTTTCATATAAACCCTTGTCAACTAGTGACAATATCTCTTACTCAAAAGACAGAATCTAAACAATAGTGGTATATATAAAACATGGAATGAGAAGCATTACCTATAGGAATTGCACAGATTAAAAGAAAAATATATTTCTAGCTACTTGAATTCTCAACAGGATTTTCTCTTCAAATCTTTTCTGTGCAATATGCAGAAACCCCAAAATACTAGAATTTTAAAATACAAAATTTTAAGTCCGTACATTGCTCCCTTGTTCCACACATGCTTGAAAGGTGGGGTTTCTTAATACTTTTTTCCTCGAAAGTGTTGCATCAGAGAGAAACAGTTTCTACTCTTCTCTTAACTTCTTTTTTAGAAGTATCAGTTCATCCTGCTCATTCCATTGCTCACTGATAACCCCAACTGCTGCACCCCTGTTTTCAGTTTTTCCAGGAATTGAACTGAGATGAGAAGCACAGAGAAGAGCAGTAAAACTGTGGGGTTTGGCCTACTTAGAGGGTGTTTTTTTGCTTGTGTGGGCTTTTTCTTTTCTGAATTGTTCCTGCATACAGGACATCCAAGCACTACTTCTGTAATCCTTAATTTTAATTTTTTTTATTAGAACCTATAGTCAGCAAATGTCTTATTAAACTGGCTGCAATGCCTGCATGTGTTGCTAAGTCACATTAGATCATGGGAATTTTCAAATCCCACATATCATTATCCACTTCAAATTCACGTAAGTCTATTAGAAAAAAAAAAATCCATGTTCTCTTGTCATCAGCACTGATGCTTTGATAAGGTCTGCTGGTTTCATTCAAGAATGAGACCTCTCCTTAGAAGAAACACAGAAAGATCTAGGAAAAAAATTCCCTACTTCAAATAATGTTGCATGAGGGACTAGCACAATTTTCATTCAGGCTATATATCATCTAGGCTAGTTATTTTCATTTCATAAGTGACATAAGTGACTAAATCAACTAGACGACTGAACACCAGAAAAGGATGCAATTTTTACCATTATTTGTATTATATGGAGTCATTACACTCAGTCTACCATAACTTCCTGCATTTAGAAATGTAATTTATATGATCTGTGCCTGACGCTGACATGGTATCAGCATGTACCTTTATACATTCTCTTTTTAGTCATAACCGAATTATTCTAAATATTTTCACTGCAGTCCAACTTCCATAAAATATTGCCTTATCTAACCAGATACCCAACCAATTCCCACTACAGGGATTACAGGATACAAAAAAATAGCAACACATTTAATGAGATTAATGAATTTGATTTAACACAACTGAATACAATCTATTCTTCATTTTGCATGCAAAAAAAATCACTGTAAATAGTATGTGTCCTAAACATGTAGTACACTTACCAGAATTTTAAGATGCACAAAAAGAGACAGTAGGTTTTACAGTAGATGGAATTACTGAACTAAAGAGAACTACGAATTTAAAAACCATATTAAGGAAAAGCTCAAAGATTAGAACATAAAGTTTGCTGTACTAATGTTATTTAATGATTACATTTTGGTAAAAACACTTTCTCATTCAACAATTGGGATTTTTTCCTGTATTGTTTTTTAAAGAAGCATTCGAAATTCAGAGATAAGTAATCTGGTTTTAAGTATAACAGCCATTTGAGAAAACAGAGTTTTGATCTCTGTCATACTGGCACAAATCACTGCACAAAATAAATAAAAATAACAAACCAACAAAAGAAATGTAATTTTCCTCAACTAGAAATAACCCTTAAAAATGATCTGTAAAATTAGGGTTAGTATCTCAGTTTGAAATACTCAGTCTGTCATGTTACTCTAGACAGCAGCATCCCTAGGACAGAACAAAAATGCAAGCATGTAAGCACGTACAAAAGCATGCACAAAAATTGAAGTAGCTACACTATTTGGGTTTCTTGGAAAATGTTTTGGAACCAGTACTTGAAGTCCCATACATCTGTACAGCACTCAGTAATCCTGAGGTACTTTTTATTCTGTCTAAAACTGAACCTTGATTTAAAGTGAATAAAAAACTTTACGTTAGGAAAAGATAAGCCTCACTTTCACAGGCTAGATTTCTTTTTCTCACGAAGTGTAGTCTGGTGCTTTGATAGTGAGTAAAACAAACAAAAAATAACTTAATGGCCTAATGTTTTTGTATGTTTCCTTTCTTCGCTTTATTGAGAAAAGTACCATTTTTTATCCTGAATATTTTAAAGACAGCTGCAAAAATTACCCATCAACTGCAAAAATTAATCACCTAGCAAAATATGTAACAGTGATAATGACAACACTGATGTTTACAGTAGAACATTAGCTTAACTTGGCAAATATAATAGAAACAATGAGTCTTAAAAAAAGCTCTTCAAATGTTTACTACAGGAAGTTTCCTTTAGGCAGCAGGGTGCATATGATGAATTACTCCTGCAATGCTCCAATGACAAAAACATAACACAAATTGTCCACTATCTCTCTAATAGATATAACAAAACAGTATCAAGAAAATGTGAATGTCTTCTATTGTCAAATATTGATAAGTAAATCAGAATGAATCAGTATTAAGTACAAATCTGAAAAAGACTGTGCCTTTAATAAATTCAGTAAAAACAACTGCTTGTTATCATGAAAGCTCATGTTACCATTAGATTACAGCAGTCATTGTGCAATAGTATGTACAAATTAAATGAAATATAAAAGAAAACAATCCAAATTGTAACAAATTTCTGTAGTGTCTTCTGCTGCACCACATCAACTGCTAAGGGCTCTTGCCATAGTATCGGCCATATTAAACTACACGGCGGTCCCAACACAAAATGACATGCAACTAAATTTTATTTTACTGCAAGACAGGAACTTGGTTCCTCTAGAAGTAAGATCCAACAAAACAAAAATATTCCCATCAAAAAGACAATGATCACACAGTAACATCGAATACTGACTGATAAAAAAATTTAAAACGTCACAGGTTCACACAGTTCTTCATGGTCAGGCACACACATGCACATCCACAGAACACACCTTACATCCCTGAACTTTCACTTACCTCAATAGCTCTCTTTATGTATGGTATCTGTGTCCCACTGTCCAGATCTTCATTAATTATGAGTCTCCTAGCCCACTGACCAGCTCTGACAACACCATTACCATGAATTAAGACCAACAGCTTGTCAGGATTTACTAATGCATCTTCACTCATAAAGATAAAGCTCTTTGGTTCAGTCTCAATTGCATCAACCTGCAGTTACAGACAACACACATTTTAATGCATCAATGTAATTATTTGAAAGAAATCTGTAGTTATAAAATTATCTACCAAATTTATATAAAAACATTCATCAATAAACAATTATTTCAATGCATGTGTGCCCAGGACTAAATAAAAATAGAGCAAAATATACATTGTAACTCTGAAACACATGAACATACAACATTTTATAACATCAATCCAAGGGATATTTAAAATTAAGAAAAGGGGTAAAAGGTATGCTTAAGCTTTGAAATGTCAGTTGTTTACAAAAACTTACAGGAAAGGAAGAAAGTCCATAAATGAGCAATAGGAGGTGGTGAGAGGGAAAGAAGTCAGTAATTTCTCACCTCTGATATGCCTGAAGCAACAATAAATTCTTACATAATATGAAAAAAATATCCTGAAGAGTTCCAAATCAGCCACCTCAACAAATAAATATTCAATAAGCTTGATACATATAGGAACCAGTACTGTAAATTTGTCTGTTACAAGTTTAATAGAATAGGTCTAATAAAATATAGAGATCCAATTTGGTTTTAAATAATAGATTCATTAATTGTACCAGGGTCAATGCTTAGCTACTTTGCTGTAGGAAGAGACCAACAATTAGCTTTGATATTCAGCAAATTGAAGCCTAATAGCATATTTTGTCTTTAAGAGAGTAAAGGAGCACTTTTTCTTCAATATAAACTAAAGTTTTTATACTTGGTTTAGCAATCCTGTCTCAAGACAAAAAAATGTCCTGATGTAAATACCATGAGGGCAAAACAAATCTTTATGTCTATATGTTCTCTTTCTACTATATGAATACATAGAAAAGAAAAAACAAAACAGGCACATCTCCCCCTCCTACTATACTCCACACCCCTCCACCTCCACAGCCTAACTGTCCATCTGCTAGGAACACTCTCTGCAACAGAGAAGAAAAACAGATCAGGTTATGATCTCCATGCTGAGAAAGAAGAAATCAGCTATTTGGATTAGTTTTGGTCGTTTTTTGTCATATACGGGTATGAATTCTTAACTACCCTTATAATAGGAAAAATTAATTCTGCATGCATCTTCAGACTTTTTTAATGTCAGTCCTAACAAACCTTTTTAAAATTAAGTCAGTGAGGCTACTTGAACAAAACAAATCTGTAAATGAAAGAATGGTCATGTCTCTCTTCAATATTTGCCACAGCACTGAAAACCTTATTCCCCTGCTCAGAAATAAAGTAACATATCACATGCCTCAGAGTTTGCACAGGAAATGTACTCAATTTCTCTCACACTTTGTGCAAAAATAGAAAATATGGTAAAGAATATGTTCTATTGAAAAGACGGGGGCTACAGTCAGATCATGCTGCTGCTTCTGAAATAGCAGTATTGACACCTTAAAAGGTGAAACAGATTAGGTAAAAAGTCAGCCAACACTGAATCTCAGATAGTACTCTGCAACATTTAAGTGACTTCTACCCACAAACTGAATATTTACAACACTATAATTGGGAAAAAAACCCTGTGGATTTGCATTTCAGACTACTGTGCAAATTAGCCGTAGGTTTTAGCTCTTATATCAATTGTGAGTGCTAAAGTTTATATAGTATATAGGAAATATTAGCATGTAGTAGTCATATGTACTAGAAGATACAGCTAGTTCATATTTCTGCAAATAATTTAATTTCAAATAGCTAAAATTATCTACCAAGACCATAAAAAATTACTTTTGAGTCTTTTCCCAAAATTAAACACATTTACAGACATTTTGTTGAGCTGATTTACCTTCAAACAGTAGTAATTTATTAGATCCAACTTTCACTAAAGAATGCACGTAAATATCACTCCTATACACAATCTTACTTTACTGACAGATTAACACAGAATACCATTTAATGCCAGACACAGTGAGGCCACATAAAATACTTTGCAATTATTAGCTGCTTGTTCTTCTAGACCTACTCAAGATCACGAATTTCTGATCACTTAAATCTAAACTGAATAAATACAGGAAAATATTTTTTAGATTAATTAAACTATTTGATTCAACATTGTTATTTATAGGTGAAAACAATTCCAGTAATCTCTAGCTAGGCATACCAAACCTATCTCAATTATGATAATAATTTACTGCTTAAAACTACTGTTTAATTTTCTTTTTCTTGGATTTTTTTTCCAATGCACAGTAATTCCCTGAAGTTTATGAATGTAGGCAGCTATGGTGAGATCTTTACATATATTATGAGATTCTTTATGTTTTCAGACAGTGAACTTCCTTTTACTTTTTCCACATCATTTCTATCTCAAATGAGTTTTCACCTAATACAGTAGTACCAGTCTATAAAGTATTTCAGCAACACACTAGTTAGTATTTTGCACAGCTGCTATGAATATATACAGTAAAATCAAACTACACTTGAAATCTAATCTTATTGTTATCCATGCTACCACATCAACAATTACCCATGACTAATCCAAGATTTACGAGATCTGACAGGGTTCCAGGAGTCCTTTATTCTATATATTGGAGGTTTATAAGATTGAATGTTGACAAGGAAAGAAAATCTACAAGTATTCTTCTTATTATTTTTCTTACTAAGTATTTTTCTTATTTCAGTTGAGAAACATGACAAAATTATGAGCCTTGAGCACACAAAGTAGGTATTAACTGTAACTGGAGGAAGAACATGGCATGTGAGTGGAATTGAAACTGGTAAGACCCAAAAACGATTGTGAGAATTGTAAGCAGCTGGTGGAGAGAAAAATCTGCTCATTTGCTTCCCAAGATGAAAAGTCATCTTCTGTGTGTTTCAACATAAACCTCACTAACTCACTTTACACAGGATTTAGAATTTTTCAATCAAAAATGTAAAACTGAGAACTGCTGATGAATATTACAGGCAGCTAATCAACATTTGACTATTACCAAAACTAACTTAGCAAACCTAAATAAAATATGTGGAAATTTTACAAACAAGTATTAACTTCACTTAAGTAACAAAACTGGCAAAAGGAACATGCATTGGAGATAACAGAGCATTGTTTCTCAAAGAAAAATAATTCTTCAATGAACTTTTTCCTACTGAAGTGAAAGAGGAAAGCACGGATAACTGAAAAGATTCTGCAAAGGAGACATTTCAGTGCCATTGCAAATTAAACATATGTCCTGGTTTCAGCCAGGATAGAGTTAATTTCTTCTCAGTAGCTGATAGAGTGCAGTGTTTTGGCTTCAGAACAAGAATGGTATTGATAACACTTAGGTATAACACTGGTATTTTGGTTTTCTGCTAAGTTGTACTTATCCAAAGTCAAGGACTTCCCTTTCCTTGTCTCATGCTCTGCCAGTGAAAAGGTATGCAAAATAAACTCAGAGGGAGCATGTTTGGGACAGGTGCCCTGAACTGGCAAAGGAATATTCCACGCCCCAGAATACCATGCCCAGGATGTAAACTGGGGGGAGTTACCCAGAAGTATGGCCAATCTGGGTTCAGGATTCAGGGGTCTGGCACTTGGCATTGCACATAATTTGTTTTTTGTCTTATTATTATAATTTACCATTATCACTGTATTTTGCTTTAGGTTGTTAAACTGTTTTTATCTCAGCTAACAAGTTTTACTTTGATTCTCCTCCCCATTCCATTGGTGCTGGGGGAGGTAAAAGGAGGGTTGAGCAAGGAGCTGCATGGTGCTTAATTTCCAGCCAAGCTTAACACCCCGACAACATGTTACTAATTATTTAAACTTCCATCTCAGGCTTCCCCAGAAGCTGTTAAAGATGCAGTTAACATAGAAGGACACTCTATTTGTCCTCAGCAGCTAAAGAAGAGTAAAGATCAATCATTGATTATGCCACTACAACTAGAGAAATACAAATATTTCAGGTAGCCAAAAAAATGTGGTCTTCATTTTCCTCCTAATATAACCTTCAATGGAGCGCAAAATGAAACTTTAGAAGTAGTAACTGAATGGCCTCTCCTTAAATATGAGATTCTTTATTAAAATGTTTAAGTCCAGTAGTACATGTTGAACATTATTAGAAGTGCAATGTTTTATAGTAACGGTAATTCAGCATGGATTATTCAGCATGGATTACTCAGGCCTCCCTGAGTAGGAAAAATGTTCAGAATCATTTAGTCAAAGATGCTGGCATAATAAAATACTGGGCAAACTCTCCTGATCTGCCAACTGGTCTTACTTGCATATCTGAGAACAAATGAATTAATTTTTGTACCCTAAACTAAAGCTGCCACCTATGAAAGCAAGACAAAGACAGCAAGTTGGATTTTGCACACAAGGTTGAAATTAAGGAAGATGAAAGAACATAAAATGCCATCATGCTAAACCTTTGAAGCATAGCATTTCCATTCCCTACTAAAATTATGCTGAGAAAAAACACACTCCATCTAACACAGTCCTGAAACACATTTCAAATATTTAAAAATCACAGCACTGCCAGCTTTATTATCAGCTGACAGAAAAAGGAAAGCCAATACAACAACTTTCTAATCACCTGTGATGAAGTTAAAAAAGTTTTTGCACTCATATCTAAAATATGCCTATAAAAAGGCTGTGTATATTATATGTGTGTGTGTATATATATATATACATACACACACATACATATGAACCATCTTTGTCGGACGAAGGTCCAGGGTCCTGTTTCTGACAACCGGCAGATTGTGTAGGGGAATAATAAAAACAGAGTGGTTATAGAGTGATTCTTGCCTGGCTTTGACAGTCAGTAACTTTAGAACCTTGCAAGCCACAGTTTATACAACTAGGCAAGCACATAAAATAGTTCAAGGCACCTATCCCACCTTAATATTGTCAAATGGTTTTTTTAACTGCATTTTACCTCTCTCCTTGATAGTATTCTGTGGCAATGAGTTCCACAATATAATTGGGATATATATGAAATAATACTGTCTCTTTCAGTAGAGATCTCCTGCCTGATAATTTAAACTTGATGCCCCTTAGGTTCTCTATTATGAAAAAGGCAAAAACCCATTTCCTATTCATCTTCTCTTCACCTTTCATGATTTTATAGATTTGTCATATTCCTTCCTCAGCCATCTATTTTCCAAGCTGAAGAATCTTTGTTTAATCTTTCTTTGTCTGAAAAGAATTTCATGCCTGTGATCATCCTTGCAACCCTCCTCTGTATTTCTTTTTAATTCTTCATATCCTTTTTGATATGGTATCCAGACTTCATGCAGTGTTTAACATGAGGGCCCACATAATGAGTGGAATGATGATGTTTTTCTGTTTTGTTCTTGATACCTCACAATTCCAACCATCCTATTTGCTTTGAGGGTTTTTGACTGCCATTGAGCACTCACTGATGTTCTCAGAGAACTACTCACAATCACTCCAAGCTCTTTCCTGAATTGTAATAGCTCATCTAGAGGCCACTGTTGTGTTTACAGAGCGAGTTATCTTCCCATAATTTTGTATTTACCAGAATTGAATCTCCTGTCATTTAATCATCCAGTTATTCAGCTTCAATAAATAATTTCCCAACTCATCATAACCTGCTTTAGGTTTAACTATCCCAGATAATTTTCACAAAAAAACCCAGAGAAATTTGTTAGCTTGTATTATTTCCTTTTGCTTACAACCATGTCAGGCCCTAAAAACATTTCACTGATAACAGTTTATTAAATCTGTAAAATCTGAACACTTTTCTCCCCTTCTAAGCTATTAACTCTTAAGGGGACTATCTTCTCCTGTGCTTTTTAAATGCATTTAATGCATTGTTGACAGTTCACTGGAAATATCTGTACTCTTACTGACAAGATTTTTCTTCTTCATGCGAGCTCTGATGCCTGCAATGAATTCTGGATTTTTTTAAAGAAACTTGCACTAATTATTAGTACAATATATAGTTTATATATTATGTATTATACATTATTATTATTAGCTGATTTCGGCAGTAAATTAAATTGGTTGTTCTGCAGCTTCATGTTTGACTTCTTGTAGAACCCCAGGTTTAAAAAATAATCTCATCCTGGAATTTGCTTATTGTACAATATATTAATTTGTCCTCAGATCTTCTCTATTGATATGACAAATTTCAGACAGTTGCTCAGAACTATATCCTGTTTAGAAACAAAAATTAAGTTTGTGTAAATTGGACAAGTAGTATTGGAATTAATAATGTTAGTTTTTCTTATTTGACCTTGGTGTTAATTTTAGCTGCAGATCATCTACTGGCCTTATGAGCTCTCTTTTATTATTAGCCTTTACAATTCTAACAAGCTCCTCAAATTTATTTTTTCTGAACTTTCTGTGATTTTACATGCATCTTAGCAACATTTATATTCTCTTCTATTCTCACCCTAAAAGCTGTTTTATTACTTTTACTAGTTTCCATTATTAGTTTTAACTAGAGAGTTTTGTGTCCTTGGGAGTCTGTCAGTGGTAATTTAAACCTAGCTTTTACACAGCTTTAATTTTTAAACTTCAGGATATGTTGTTTTAATTTTTCACTTTTGTATATACCTTCATAACCTATTTTTGAACGTGGTGAGGGCTGGCTAAACATAACATCTCCTCCTGAAGAACGGTGTTCATAAGTCATGTGAATTTTTCCACAAAGCTCACAATTAGACATCTGCATATTTTGTGTCTTCTTATTTTGCTCCAAAATGCAATTGAATTAGGACACTTCACAGAAGCTGAAAATCATATATTTGAGAATAGCTTAAATGTATTACTGAACAGCTGTATCCATTGTCACTATACGATTTCTAAATACAAGTAAAGAGATTAATCCAAAAGTGGGAACTAGTCAGGACCATTCCTCTTCCAAGCCAAGAAACCCAAACCTTAGAGCCAGGCAGATGAATCACCACAGGTGTGACATAGGTGATGGAGGTGCTGTAATACTTATCCTGAGTTTCTTCATCTTCATGCTTGGGAGCTAATAGATCAGCTTTAGCACTGCTCCACTTATATGCATATTCTTCATATTATTTTTTACTAATCAAAGAAAATCCTATAGCCTTAAAATCCAGGCACTTCAAAGTTTATAAAAGACAGCTTCATAGTTTCACAGACAAGTGTGACATGGCTTGAAAAGTCTTTTGATACATTTTCTTTCTGAAGTACTTCTTGGACCAAGAAAGAAAATTAGCCAAAAAGCTGGAGATCATAACTAGCACTGCACCAGTCAGATTGTTATGATGAACCCAATCCTATGTCTGTCTACACAATAAAATCTAAAGTGGGGAAACGGTTTCTCAGTCTTGGCTCACAGGGCATCGGTGCAAGACCCTAAACAGCCCGAATAGCCCCCCGAGATAACCCCCACACAAGCTCCAACACCACAAATAAAGCTGGGAGTATTGCCCTTTGATTTCTCTGTGAACTTTGTAGCTCAGCTCCTTCTGCCACAAGACACTGGAAAGGCCTTCCAGGAAACTGTAAGTAGTTTGGTCAGGTCATCAAAACATTCCCTAAGCAACACTCAGGGAATAGAAATGGGAATAGTGAAATGTTACAGAAGTGTTAAGGCAAAAGACCTTTTCCTTCCATAGCCTAAACAGGTTTTCCTTGACTGAATATGAAGGTTCTTCTGAGAACAACAGCAATTCAAAGATTTCAAAGAGCATAGGAATAATCCTTCATAATGATGGAAAATCTACATAGTGCTGTCACACTCCAGTCTCCCCTGTGCTTTCCACTACAGAGTATAAAATTATCTGAATATCATCATATCATATCACATGTATTTATAAACACTCTGATATGTGGGGGAGCACTTCATCTTTTTCAAGGGTTGATTAAATATTTTCACTAAGTAACAAAAGCACTTTATATTACATACATATTACAAATTACTGAAAAAGCGTTTTTAAAAAAAATGACTTGGAGTGTTTTACTGATACTGAATATGAGGGTAGTTCGCTGCCTGCAAAAACATTTCTGTTCTCTACACCCAGCTGTTCACACCTCAGAATATCCACAAATATTTTTCAGAAAGCTTACAGCACTCCTATTAAAAGCACCACATTTTGAAGAATCTGGTAAGGTAAGGAAGGCTCAGCTGGAGAAATCAAACACATGAGAACTAACGTGGAACCACATCTCCAGATGCATACGCATGTGTAGGGATCACTGTACTCCAGGACGGTTTAGGTGAATGGAGACGAGACATCTCTGAAGGTTGCTCTTAGGATATAAGGTTTATTAGGGATGGAGAAAGGTCCTGCCTCGAGCTGCCAGATGCAGCACGTGGCAAGGCCTGGGGAGATGGGGGAGGGAAGAGACACGAGGATGCTCTAGGAGAGGGTGGAGGTCCTAAGAGGGGGGAAGATCCAAGAGAGCGTCTGGCCCCTCGGAGACCCCTTATCAGGGGGGCTTCAAGGTGGGCTGGAACAAAGCTTGGGCCAATGGGGTCACAGGCACTTGATGTTTCAGGGGAGGGTTACAGGTGCGAGGTAAACCATACATTTTGGGGGATGAGATGGAACAGTCCACTTGACCCCTGGACCCATCCGAAGGCAAGGGCATTGTCCAGCCAGCAGAGAGGACTGTTCTCATCCTGGCTGTATTATTTATGAATAATTATATTTATCCATCCTTCCCAACACACATGCAAAATGAAAAGGCAGTGTCCTGAAACAATGCCCTGCACAGAGCTCTGGCACACCTTGTCTTTATATGAATATGGGTTCACAGGCTATGCTGGGTACAGATTCAAAAAAAATGTCTTTGGAAAAATAAATTATACTTACTGGAAGAGTTACTTTCTTCAAATGGCATTCGTTCTGAAGTAGTTCATAAATGTATTTAGTAATGATCTGGAATAAAAGAAAAAATAGAAATGTCACCAGATACTAAAACACGTATAATAATGACATATATAGGTAGACAAAGGCTAATTGGTTAAACTTCTAAACACTTATGTATGTTTTGCCACTTTCCTGAATCCTTTACTGTATAACTAATTATAGAACTTGAAGCCTTAGACATAAAATTCTCTCTGTTTCACAGAAAAGACTTCTTGCGAGTACAATGGAAGGGTAACTGTACCTGTGAATCCACCATGCACTAGTCTATGAAAAATTAGGTGAATAACAACCTCAAAACTAAGTTTTATAACCAACTAATATATACTTGGCGTGTAGAAGAAAGACTCTCTCTGTAAAGAAATACTTTTAAATCATTTTGTCTACCAGCTGATTTCTGGCATTCTCTACCCTCCAGGTTCACTTCATGATTTACATGGAGAGCAGGTTTGTAGAATCCTCAGCTAAGCTACCTTGCCATTTCTACTCACTGAACATGGGAGGTATGGTTCACAGACTGCTAAATAGATGAAAACCCCATACAGAACACCCAATATGGGGGAGTTTATGTCCCTTTTCTCTGTGTAGGAATAAAATTGAAATTTCAGTACTGAAACCAAAGATATAATTTCAGAAAGCAACAAAATTAAGAAAGGAAAAAAAAAACCAAAAACCAAATAAGACACCAAAAAACCACAAACAAAAACACCTAAACAAACAAAACCAACATAAAAACCCAAACAAAACCACAAAACCAAAACAAACAAAATACACCAGAAAACAAAAAAACCCCAAACCCCACAAAAATCAACCTTGTTGCAACAAAAGACTCGCCCTCTTAAATGCAACAAAGTTGTTCACATTTCAAATTCTTGGCTACTATCTAGGGATATTTTTTTTCTGCCCTTACATATTCTAAGAAAAATGGAGATGCAGATGTAAGTACTTTCTAACTATAATTAATTTGGGAATTAAACTGAGGAACAAACGGGCACTTCATCTATGTAAAAATTATGTGATTGTTACTGCCTGGATTTCAATGGTTATAAGAGTTGGAAGAGAGAGAAAAAAAAGGAAAATTAAAGAAGCAAAATAAAGGACTCATTTTAGGAAGCTGAAATGGTGCTTGCCTTCTCTTTAAGGCTCAGGGGATGGTATTTAAATTCCAGACAGGACAAGATCTATGTCTCAGAATATTAATCCAAGAATATTTGGATACAAATCCGGACAGTATTCTTTAGACAAGCACCTCAAGGCCACAGTTACATCCATCTGAACTCACAGTATATTTAAGACCCAACAGAAACATCGTTATTAACAAAGGTCTCAAATGATGGCATCTTAACTACACACTATCATCCAAGCAAGTAGGAGCCAGGGTGTCATAAACTTCAAATTTAACTTATCAAATGCACAATTAAAAAAAGAAGTTTCAATGAAGTACAAAAGTTTTATTATGTAAATGTGAAGAAACACAATATGCAAATGTTTTGATCACATAGGAACAAACCACAAGTGCTAATGAAAGCTAATTAAAAATGTTGGTATATGCCCCTCCTTTCCTTTCTCTAAACCCCCAAAATTTTATTAGGATTATAAGAATTCTTTCTGATCCTGCTTAAATACATTTACTGATAGAATTATGTTCAAAAAACTTAATGGTTTACAGAAACTCAGTCCTTCTGAACATTATTATCCATACAAAAACTGCATTTGGAGAAGGAACTCAGCAGCGAGCGATAAGTTGATTTAAGGCATGTTTATCCCCAAAGCAATATTCTAGGAACATGCATACAGTGTAATTTTGCCTTCAGGGGCAAACTTTTTATGGTTCACCGAAATCAACTACAGTGTAACACCAACAAGTAAAGCAGTTATGTTCCTGCAGTCTCAAATGCTAATGTTGTACCAATATTAAATTGAGTATAATGATAACATGGACTACAACATGGAAATTTTGGTTTTAACTCTCAATTCAGGCATCTACTCACTGTTAAAATCACTAAAAGAAAACTTGGAAGTGAAAAACTGCTATGCAGAAAATATACTTCAGACACAACTTGTGAAAGTCTACCCTTTTTACATCTGTTTGTATCTATTTCTTCTATTCTTTCTCATTTATTTAGACTGTGTGTCTTCAGAGCAGAAAAAACTTTTACTCAATTTTTCCACAGCCCATCTCAATGGGGCTGTCATTCTAACTAACTCTTTATGCACTACTCTAATACAATAAAGAGCAATACAGCCTTAAAAATAGGAGTGTGGAATCAGTAGAACACTCTGGTGTGACAAAGACTTAACCTAATGAATACTTCCAATAAAAGCAAACATAAAGAAAGATACAGGAGGTGGAGGCTTATCATCTTCAGACAGCTCAGCACCTGGATGGCCTGCATTGCCCAGGGAGATTTCAGGAAAAAATGCCATTTAAAAACCCCTCAAACAAGACAACTCCTAAAACTGCCACAGTCTATATATATGTGTATATATGTGTATGTACCTATACATGTGTATGTATATGTGAGGGAGTGTGTGTGTGTATGTATGTAGCCATAGGAGGGGTTGAGGGCTTTTTTGCAATAGATCAACACGTTTAGGGATATCCTAGCAATGGCTGGTGCACTAGCAGTCATAAATGATGGAAACTGATACACAAGATTTCTTGAAGTGCCATCCAAGTCCAGAATTTTCAAGATTTGAAAATATCACTAATGGCCAGACTTCCTGAATTCTATCATAGATGTGTCTGGAAAATTTGACAAAATTCAGTCCTGCCTAGGAAAATCTAGCAAAATTCTGTCCAATCTAAGAAAATGGCTGCAATACTACCCAACACTTTGGATTTTTAGGCTTTTAACAACTTCTTCTGATTTTATGGTTGATAAGTAATTTAAAAAATAATAATTATTAAAATATCTTTCCTACAGGAAGCAAAAAGAAATGCAAACTGTGTGATATTTTTTATATAGAACTAGTTAGACTTAGTACTTCAAATCTATACAATTTATATAGCCACAACTTCTCTAAGTAGCAATATTATCTTATGCATGCTGGTGTTCTATATTTTACATCTAAAAACTATTGTAGAAACTACTGTAGAATGTTGAGAAGCGTATTTTGACTTCTTGCATGAGTAGGTGGTTCTGGTTACACTCTATGAAACTCTCCTGGACTAATTATCACTCAGTCACACAGCTACTCATCACTGCAGGTATATAATGACAGAGGCTGATCAATTCAGTCCTACATCAATAAATCATCTGAACTATCAAACAACAAATTGTTCAGATCCAGACGTTCTCAGTGCAAACTGTAGCACTTACTAGAGAGTCCTATTCATGGTAGTCATGCTAACCTGGGATAGCTGCACTTTTCCTAAGGCTCTTGAAACTGGTTAAGACATGGAAAATCTGTAAGCAGAATAATTCAAGCACTGTAATTCAAGGCAATAATAAGGTGGCTGAAGAACAGGTATCACTGTGTCCAAGACTGAAAAACAAAACAAAAACAAACAAAACAAAACCTCCAAACAAACAAAAAAAACCCAAAAAAACAAAATAACAAAAAAAAGAAAAAACAAACCAAACAAAAAACAACAACAACAAAAACACAAAACAAACAAACAAAAAAAAAACAAACAAAAAAACCCCAACAAATGGAGAAGAAACTGGAAGTTCTGTATTTCTTGCATGAGATACTGAAAACTTCCACCTCATATTAGTGTATTTCTGTGCTTCATTCACATCCAAGTGCTAACAGAAAAATACATCCCAAATAAGATAAATATCTGTAGTTAAAACTATCAAGGTGTTCTTACTGACTGTTGAGTGAACTGGAGGAAGGAAAAAAAATCCAAAACACAAATACCAAAAAATTCCAATCCTCTCATGACCTATTCTGATAGCAAGGGACCAATCCTGTCCAGCCATGGAAAGCATAACACTTCGACTGTCAAAAAAGGTTGCACTCAAACTGAGTGATAGAGAAAATTTTCTTCTCAGAACAAAGTGGTCTTCTCTGGAAGGAAACTACACTGCCTGTATTTTAAATTGGTCTCATTGAGCAAAGGAGCCCGTGTTCTGCTTTCCATAAGCCTGAGAAACTTCTGCCCTAAATGAAATCACAGCTATTCTAATTTTGTTTGACTAAAAAAATTCCTGTAATAAAGGCAAGCTGATGAGAGCAGGGACCACAGATGAGTAGAACACATCCTGAGCACTAAAACCAAGTAGATTATTCTCAGCATATTAAAAGCACAAGTATATAATCTCTGCTATCATTTCTTCGTTGTAGTTTTCCTTCATCTGTGGTGAACAAGGTTGAGAGCCTTATGCATATGGTTCAGGAGTGGAACCAACCTTCAGCGCCCACAGAAAGTGCCTTTCTCAGGAGCTTAAAATAAATCAGTCTTGATTTATGTTGGATATAACACAGAGTCCCTCCAGAAGTGCCTTTTCAAAGTGCTTGTGGTCTCAAATACGTAATCTACAAAGTCCAAAAGCCTTATGGATAATTGGGGTATAGACCTACATTGTGACCAGTGAGCCTTCATATGGATCCGGAAAACAGGTTATTTTAATGACAAAAAAATTAAATATAATGACTTGGACAGAAAGCAAAAAGAACAGAGAGAAGCACATTATCTTATGACAAACCTGAGATTTTACCATTGCATTGTGAAATATTCTGCACAATGACAACAGGACTATAATGCTGCTTAAACTCTGCAGAGCAAAACTAAAACTACAAGGGGAAACCAAGGTCTGGTATACACAAATGTAATGTAAATCAATTGCTAAGGTCCTGGCTTTCTACAACATATGCTCTTTTAAGATTACGGTTCATATAGAGGACTTTATTACTAATTGTTTTCAATGACCAAAAAGCATTGAGAAAATTTTAGTTTTTGAAAACTTTGCATTACAGCATTCTGAAACTACACGATCAAAAGATCCATACCTGTCTAAGAACTAAGTGAAAACTGAAATAAAATACTAAGAACCAGTGACACC